ATGCCACTTAGTAATGCGAAGTTCACTGCTATGTTGACTGCATATTTTACCTTACATCTTCACTGTGGTACGGCAGGAATCATCCTTTTCACTAATTTAATGCAGGACGCATATCAACAACCCACAAATGTTGCTTTTTTGTAACCTTTGCCTCCTTTCTCTATATGGGATAAATAAAGCATTTGATTTTGAATCCCTGCATCAAGGTCGTGTGCCAATTTCCAAACTGAGCAAGCTTCTTTTTTCTTTTTTTTTTTTTTTAGCAGACGCATTGTTTAGTGAAGACATCGAAGACTACAATAGCTGGAGCTTTAACCCCTATGCACATGACCCCCTGCCACGTGCTGACGCACTTCGCAGGAAGAGTGTTTCTGTCGAACACCACTGATGCGCGCGAGTGCGCACCGAGTTGCTCGCTAAAGCGAGCCATAGAGTTTTCACAAGCAAATAAACAAAAGGCTATGAGGAGTTTCAGCGACGGTGTCACCGCCCTGGCGGCCGGTCGCCGAAAGAGAACGAGGGGGATAGGTTCGCTGGGCGGTGGCTTTGTGTATATGCGCTGGCCGCGAACGTAGGCTTATAAACTTCGGCAGCAAGAATATTACGCGGCTCTAGTGTTTCGGTACGAGCAACAGAGGTGACACGATCTGCTACGACCAGCTACGACCACCCGCCGCAGCGATGCAGGCGTCGAAGGAGCGCAACCTGTGTACTACCAGTACTACGCAGTCAGCCGCCATCGCCCGACGCAGATCGTTCGGCATTCAGGGCTTTCCGCCCCGGGTTCTTCGCTTGTACTTGGAACCGAGTATTATTTCCTGTGCTTGTGTATGTGCTCAGTGGCTGGATATGGACCTCATAGAGCAGTTCTTCAGACTCAACAGCGATTCAAAGTTGACGGCAGAAGGGCTTGCGGCAACGCTTTCGGTTGGTGCACGGCTGCGACGACTACACGGATAAATTTTTAAGATTGGTGCTAGCAAGGTGGGCCATAGTCGCTTTATGTTGACACGATTTTGAGTGGTACTCCGTGCAAAGGCGCATCTATCGCGTTTCTAATCCACCTTTGTTTTTGTTGTTTTTAGCACGCACGACCGACTGCTAAGCAAATGCTTCTGTACGGATCACGGAGTGAATTTCTTCGGCCTTACATTGCGGAACGCCCAATAAAAAGTCATATTCGTTCAGCAAGAAAACTTCCCTTTCGAGTGACCTTCTGATTGATAATTTCTCCCGTACTTAAGTGCTTTAATCAACACGATCGATTAAGTTTGCTTCCCTAGTTAGGACATTTTTGTGCTACATGCGGCACTAATGCTTGGCACGATGTTTGCCACTGGTGGTATTGTGAATTGGTTTACTTCCAAAGCTAACAGTGTGACAGGTGGGACCATTCAATTTGCTAAAAACGTGATGATATGGGAATTTCGTTGCATAACTAGCGTTTTACGTTTAAGATTGATAAGAAACATGCTCATGTGATGATGCATGTCTACAGCATAAGCTTTGCAGATCCAGAATAGATGTGCTATAGGCTACAGCCTCAAGGTTTTTAATGGACCAAATTGGTGATTACACGGCAATAAATGTTGTGGTGAAAAACTGCCCATTGACTCGGTGAGTTTTGATTGTGACCATTGGTGTGCTGTTGGCAAATTAGATAATGGCACACCTTTTCCCTGACCATCTGGCTTCAAGGGGCATTGCATCTAGATGTGCTCAAATATCTTTATTTCAAGGTTCAGTGGATCCCTCTGCATCATTACAGGAAGGCAGTCTCAAGCCACAACAAACAGCAGTGAATATACAATGCATAACAACAGGCACCAGTGCCCAGGCGTATAGTCCGCAGTAATCAGTTTGAGCCTAAAAACGTTTCTGTTTTGTTTAGATAGTTTGCATTTGTTGTATAATCCGCAGGGCCCGATTTCCGTGCCCAGTGCATAGTCCGCCAAGCTGGTGCGTTGTGTCTTCGTGCTTTTTTTCCTAAGTGGCATTTTCTTCAGAAGTTCTTCGGTGAACGCTATTGAGCCTGAAGAACTGCTTTTGAGGCCCATATCTAGCCACGGAGCACACACAAGCACAGAAAATAACGCTCAGTGCCAAGTACAAACGAAGCACCTGGGCGGAAAGCTGTGAATGCCAAACGAGCTGCGTCGGGTGACGGCGACTGACCGCGTTGCGCCCCTTCGACGCCTGCATCGCTGCGGTGGGTGGTCGTAGCTAGTCGTAGCGAGATGATCTTCACTTTAAGCAAGAAATCTTGTTATACCATAGTCAAGATATGTGTGCAAGTGTTCGACGACGTGGGCTCTCTCACGTTGGTGCAGTTGTCATCAAGAAAGGTGCATATCAACAATGTTGCGTGTTTGAGGCTGAAACTATGACGCACACTTATCTAAACCTAAATTTATCGGTCTGCGGCTACAAACATTTTCGTTGACGTTGCTTAGATGATGTAACCATTCAGGCCTCGCATTAAATGGTGTTGCGACTCTTCGGCTGTGTATGAAAACCTATTTTTGCCCTAATAAAAGACATTTCCAAAAGGACATGTGTCTTCTGCTGATACATATCTTCCAATTTACAATGCAGAGGCAAATAGCAAATGAACTGCATACATCTACCACTTAGCATAAGCACCTTTGGCATTCATTCTTGAGCACACTCAAATATCAGCTTAGTTTGGTCTTGTTTTAGAAGCTTTGCCCTGTTCTGTAAAAATAAAACAGTTAAAAAAGCTTTACCTTCGTTCTCCTTCTTGCATTTAATACAGACTTGTTTGTCAGCAGATATCACCGTGGCACATACAACTCGAATGACCGATGAGACTATTGCTATTACAATAAAGCTTTCCACAAGAGCCAAAACGAGGCTTGTATGGGTGCAAAAGCACATAGAAATGAGATTGGCACTTCCGGGAATTGTTTACATTACGCGTAAAAACAGGACGACCGGCGACCAGCTGATCGCAAGATAACACCAAGGATACCGATGTTTCGATACGCAGGATAAAGACCTCAATCGTCCCTTGTATGCTGCAGTTGTCATACTTTCTATCCAACCGCTTTTTTGCTCAATTAACTAGAACAACCGAAGAATTCGCGACACCTTTTAATGCGAGGCCTGAATGGTTACATCATCTAAATAACGTTAACGAAAATGTTTGTAGCCGCAGACCGATAAGTTTAGTCTTAGATAAAGTACGCGTCATAGTTTCAACGCGCAAACATTGTTGATATGTACCTTTCTTTGGACCCGCGTACATTCGGTTCAACTTGATGACAGCTGCACCAGAAGTGAGAGCTCACGTCGAACACTTGCACACATATCTTGACTCTGGCAAGATTTCTTGCCTTCAACTGGCTTGAAGACTTCGTCTGAAGCATCACGGTAGGTCTTGGTTGAAACAATGATCGTCTCGCACACGGCAATAAACAGAGAACTACACGCTTTGTTTTATTTATACGCTACCGGTCTACGGGCGTCGCAAATCTATCCCCCTCTTGTCCGCCATGTTGGATCGATCGGAGCGCCCCCTATATTCGCTGAAACTCCTCAATACCGAAGCTACACGGGCTACAGATAAAAGCAACAGCTAAACACGCCAAGCACCAGCCGAAGTAGCGGCGGTAGCGTCTCAAAAAAGCAAACTTTACACTGCTCGACCGCGCAACGGGCAAGCCCGTCTGGACCGGGGCAAAAAGAAAAAGAGAATGACCGTGACGTCACGGCCCAAGGTTGCTTTAGCGATCGGTGACCCGCTGGCGGCCCGCTAAGGAGCGGCTGCTTGCAGCAGGTCGCATTCTTATTATCGGCATTAGTTGGGAATGCGGCGTCCCCTTGACGTAATATTTTGGCTGGGGTCGTATTTTGTGTCACTAAGGCGATACCAGTAATTTGTTTCGTTTTGAATTTTGGTCGGAATTGCCCTTTAAAGGGCTTGAATAAAGTTTCCTAAGCCGCCATGCAGCAAGGCACAGCCCAAGTCAATGCCCTCGTACCCATGCCTTTCCCAGCTATGTTCACAATGTCCAAGATGGAATATAGTTATCGGCCTTTGAAAATGACTATAAAAGACGAGTACTGTGGAAGCTCGCTAATGCAGGCTGGGCACACACAGGTGACCAAGCATCGTTTTGTGATACAAACTGAGTAAGACCGAATTAAGATAATGTATTTTAAAGTCGGGTAGTAGAAAAAAATATGTTAGGTAAAGTACAAGTTCATGCTCCAGATAGTAAAAACCTACTTCAAGCAGTAGTTTAAAGTATTTCCCAACACTGCAGATGACAATGAATGGCTCTACGAGTGCATGGCAGTAAAGAGAGCATGTTAGCTGTTTTCATAAAAAGGTAAGTAATTTTAAGCGCACCTCTACTAAGAATGCCTTGCATTGCATATGCTTTGAAGCACGTGAGGAATAGACCATGTGCGAAATTGTCCAAACGTCTGGCACCACTCGTGCGCTGCCATCTTTGTTCCGGCAAAGATTCCTCTGCTGTTTGTCAATTTCTGAGCGTTGTCGGTAACAATTGTGGCCTACTGCTCACGGTCATCGATTCTCAACCACAACTACCAGCTAAGGGATCATACTGTTTTACGCTCTCCTTGCGCATGTACGTGCTCGTCGCCCCGACGGTGGCTGGTTTCTCACCGCAACTAACATGGCAAATGTACACTTCAGCTCGAAATTTGGCTTTGAGTGCTGGCAAAGCATGGGCGCGGGCGCCTGGCTTTCGAAAGCACTTTCTCCGCGCGAGTGCTTGTGCGAGCATTCTTCGGAACTACGCTTTCACGCCCTGGCATTTGCCAGCGCCGAAGCCAACTGATGAGGTGGAGCATGTTTTTCAGCGCCCCACTAGATGGCACTGTGCATTTCGCATATGGCATATTGACGCAAAATCCCCCCATCAAGTAACCACACCGAGAGCAGGTTTTTACACTTCCCGTTAATCAAATGCAACTAGCATAAAGAGTAAAATAAAAAGCCTGCTTACATTTCTGGAAAGCATGGTCATTGTGCGTTGTGAGGGGTCCACCACGGAGTGTTCACTAGCATAGCAGGTTCGGTCAGCACCCAGGATCTGTAGAAATATACCGTAAAATCCCGTAAGGACGCCCACCCAAAATGAAGAGATAAGTGGTGAAAAACATGGGGTGGGCTATCTTTGGGGATGCCACAGCAAAACTTTATCAAATATTAATTATAAGCGCCGGGGCACCCGCTACAAACCACGTGACGCAGGAACTGATACCGCAGATCGCAAACACGGCGAATTCGAGTTTTACAATGCGATAAACACGCGGGAATTCGCTACAAACTCCTGTGTGACGGGAAAGGACACCGCAGGTTGCCGACGCAGCAGATTCGCGTTTCATCGTGCGAAGGACTCGCGAAAACCCGCCGAGAACTTGCATCTCACAGGAACGGATACCACAGATCGCGGACGGAGCAGATTAAAGTTTCATGGTGCGATAAGGACGCGGAAACCCGCTACAATCTTGTCTGTCACGGAAGCCGATATCGTGTGCGCAGATCGCGGACAAAAACACGGGAATATGCTACAAACTCGCATGTCACAGAAACAAATACCGCAGATCGCAGACGCCACAAAATCACATTTTACGATGCAATATACACGCGGAAACAACTAGTGTGTTACGCGAGCCGATATCGCGCGCAGATCGCAGACAAAAACGCGGGAACCCGCTATGAACTCGGCTTCTTGGACACACTGGTAACACCTATCGCGTCGTTGACGCACGATTCCTGTCGGACATCGCCTGACGTCCAACGGTAATCGGGGGTGGGCAATGTTTCGTAATTTTTATGTTACAGATATTCAGCCAGAAAAACAGGATGGGCAATCTCTCGGGGGCGGGCGCCCTTACGGGATTTTACAGTATATACCGTAAAATACCGGGCAAGCGCCCACTCAAACTTTGGAGATAATCGCAAAAAAATGGGGAATGGGTGCTCGTCCGGTCATCAATTTTACATATAAATGTACTGCACATATTTTCCGAGATCTTATGAATTTTGGTAATGGGCGCGTAATGTGCAATGGGGGCGGATGCCCCCATTGCACATTACGCGCCCATTACCAAAATTGACGCCACGTACCCTCAACACCAATTCAGTTTCCTCGCTAAATTTAAAAGGGAAAATGGCGTCACATGACTGTGTGTCACGTTACCTATGAACAAACTCAGTTTCCCCGCTAGACTTAGCGGGAAAATTGACGTCACATGACCTCAACACCAATTCAGTTTCCCCGCTAAATTTAGCGGGGAAAATAATGTCATATGACTTCATGTCACGTGACTTATGCACAAAGTCGGTTTCCACACATAATTTAGTGGGCAAACAATTGGTGTTGAGGTCATGTAATGTCAATTTTGCCGCTAAATTTAGCGGGGAAACTGAATGCGCAGTGTTGCACTAAGGCACATCACAGACCTACACACCAATTCAGTTTCTTCTCTAAATTTAGCGGGGAATTGAATTGGTGTATAGGTCTGCGACGTCCCATAACGCAACACGCGCGGTTACGCCGACTGCAATGGCGCTTAACGCGGAAACGGGCGCCTAAAAGCTGCGCTCTAAAACAATATATATATCGTAAAGTTCAGAGACAATGCCCACCCAAACTACGAAGAAATCAAGTAAAATATATGGGATGGGCCAACTGTCAGGTCAAGTGCCAAAAAATTACAGGAGGACACTCAAGACTGCTTACATGTAGGAAGGCGAAAGAATTATAGTCCTGCGGGGGCTTTTCTCATTCAAGCTCATTCCAAAATTTTGCATTTTTCGTTTTATACCAGGATTCTAAAATTGAAATCGGTGGGAATTTATCAGCATTCATTGGTGAATATGGAGACTCAGAGTCCTACTTACAGGGTATACTACCTCATAAGGTAAAACCCAACCTGCTTTTTATGTCATACCCAGTCGCAGGTGACAGAAGTTTGTAAGCCAAGGAAGCACCATCATGTCAACGTTAGGTGCCCTTGTCTCTATCCTCTACAAATCAGTATCGCAATTAAGAAGCAACAAAATGGTGCCAAACGATTGATGTGTGCATACCCACAAAACATAACTTACAGCCCTTACTGCTCAAGTCTAGATATTGTGAAAGATATCTTGACTACAAATACACTGTTATGTAAGAGCACTTTGGCTTTTCTAGGTTTTCTTAGCAAGCACCGGATTCTGTGTGGATTCGTAACTCGTCAATGATAGGTATAAAAATTATGATGGCTATAAAAAGTGCCTAAAAGAGATCAAGCATTCATGCTCACAATAATATTTTAGAAAGAGCATAAATTAACCTAATCAGTTTCAAGTGCATATATGCTGAACATGCTCAACAACATGAAGCTTAAGTGAAATGAAACATACCAACTGAGCACAAATAGCACCATGCTCATTGCACTTATCTAAAAAAAAAACAAGTTGTGCACTCAGTTGATGCACTGCACAAAATAGTGTTAACAACATTTAGTTGTCAAAAAAAAAAAACTTTTTTGAGCTAGAAACATTTAAGTTTCGATAAAATAACTAAGAACTAATGTTTGAAGTGGACACACAAATATTGTCACCATCGGGCTGGTGGGAAAGTTCAATCTGGTATTTTCAACCTGTGGCTCTACGGCTATACAGCTCTGCTTCCGTGAAGCAGTGGCTTGTGCCACCAAGCACTGGCTACCTCAATGCAGCAGTTTCAGTTGTTTGGGGCCATGAGACATTTTTCCTCAGATTACATCAGGTTTTATTTGGTGCAATGGTTCACTAACCAGGACACAAAAAACTTAAAAAATTACAACAGATTCCCAAAATCTCGTGGCAAAATTCACCATCTGGCAACACTTCAAGGAAAATCCTGTCCTCTCCCCTTCCTCCAATCTCACATAGCAAAACACAAAGGCTTCCTTGTAGAGTACTGGAGCTCAGCAGGTGACAGCCCCTTTAATGTCACTGACATGTTTACTTCAAGCTATTGTGTATAAAGCATATCACACATACAGCTAGTGTGGCCAAGCCATAGCCAGTTTTTCCTCTTGCAACTGAAGCATAGTCACTAAAACTACTTGCGTGCTGAAACGTGCTCATCCGGGGCACTAGCTTAAGCAGTAAAAGTGCAGGTTCCCAAAACGCAAAAAAGCGTCAATGCGCCCTGCTGCCACAGCGTCGCACAGTACACACACTATAGCGAAACGGCATCTAAATTGTATGCTTCTGTCGGGACGTTCTCAAGATGGCAGAAGTCGTCAATCATGTGGCTGCCAATGTGATAGAAGGAAGGATCAAAGTCAACAGCTTCGAGCAGACGTGACTCTGAACAAATGCCGTTGGTTTTGACAGGTCCTCACCCGTTGTGCCCACGAAGGTAGTCCCCAGCAGGTGCTGATAAGGCGATGGCTCTTGAGGACACCGTCCCTGACCTGACGATCTACCACGTCGATTCCCACCACAGCCGGGTTCATCGGGTTGGGATACTTGCGCCAAGCCGCTTGGGCCACTGTCTCCCAGGGATGGCTGTCCAGAACAAAGAAACATGTCAATCTACAAGACACAGTTGAAGGACATCCAAGAGAATTCAGGCACAAACGGAGGCTGCACAAGAGGTGCAGCGAGCCTTTTGAATGTGGAAGTTGCCCCCTAGCCTTAACAGGGTGTTTTCACAGCAAGGCTGCGGGAGCATGAGCTTCATTTTTGTTTTATCTGTACGTTCATACACAATCCCCACCTTACATAAAGAAAGTGTTTGCAAGTCTTAAGCAGATGACAGCTTAAAGGGACAGTGCAACAATTTTCGGACTTTGGCCCATTAATTGTGGGAATTAGTCCCTGTCACTTCTAGACTGCAGAACTAAAAACCGCCTTTGCTTGAATATGCTAGTTTCTATTTTAAGAGTTAAAGGGATGCTGAAACAAATTTGTATTTTGCAAAATAAGGCAGCAGAAGCGTTGAACGAGATGCTATGAACTCCAAGACATCACTTATACATCCTCGAAAGGATGGCCGTATTTTAGGAAAAGCAGGGCACGATCAAGTAAGGACTATGATGTCACAATCCCCCTGGAACAGTTGAGAATGAAGAGAAGCGGCCTTGCTTCTCTCCTCCTCGCTTCGGTTCACCTGCTCAAGGGGATGAAGCGAAGAGGACAAAAAATGAGAATCGTGATGTGTCATGTCTCGTCGACCTCGTCAGCAGTGTTCAATCGCGCACTTCTTTTCCAAAAATACAGCAAACCATAAGAGATATTGTTGTATGAGTGATGTTTTTGAGTTTTGTAGCATCCCACCTATTGCTCCAGCCTTGCTTTGTAAGCTCCAAAATTTTGGTTCAGCATACCTTTAAGCAAATTGAAGTTTATGGTACCCCCTAACCTTTACGGTCTGCCGAGTCACGTGCACAATGATTTGATCAGGGGGATTGGAGAGCTTCCAGTTGTGTTCTTGAACACGTTTGCAAACTCCGTCTGTTCTCCGGCGGTCCAGTGGTTTTTGCCTTGAATCTAAACACTTTTCAAGCTCCAGTTTAATCCCATCAAAGCACTGCAACCAGTTGGCACAGCTGATGTTCACAGCCGGTAACTGATCTCAGACGATCGAGAAGACACACAAATCTGAATGTGTTTTTGCCCATTCATCACGGAAGCAGCAATGAGGACATGATCTTGTTGACTTCAGGTAGGTGGCACTGGAGGCACTATGTGTAATGAATCTTGATGACAATCAAATGCTTCCGACAAATTTAAAAATGTTTAGTGACAAGATTTATAGAACTTGGCTTTTATTCACTATAGTGTACCCCATGACGTCTTGATGTGGTTCCCACAGACAACATACATGGCCACAGGCCGGCAAACAGTCAGATTTCTGCTTTGCAATTATACGGTGGAATCGCCATATTCCGGGAAAAAACGACACATTTTCTTTCACTTGTGCTATGATGAACGAAATAAAACATGCTGCAGATTCTTGAATGTTCTAAATGTTGCATGGCTCCTGTTAAGGCCCATTCACACAGCGGCGTTCGACTACGCTACGTTCAGATACAACTGCGAGTTACCACGGCATTCACGCTTCATATGCCACATGCCAAGCCGCTTCCCGAATCAATTGTCATGCTTCATTCATATTAGGCACAGATGTCATATTAACTCACAGCTGTATCTCAATGCAACTCCCCATAACTATAGTTGAAGGCTACCGTGTGCATGGTCCTTTTTAATTAGAAAATTACAATGATTTCTAAAACAGAAGACTGAAGGTGTGATTCTTTCAAACGGGAACATTACAGGAAAAGCATTTTCTGGTGAACTTGGACGATGTCACAAAATGCCGTGATCATGCACGAAACATATTTAGAGCAGGATCAGGTTAACCGAATGAGAGAAGAGGATTATTTAACCCTGCGGGCCTAATTTATCCTGTTTGCCCATTAAAGGCCGCCGTACAGTTCGCGCTTTCCACTTTTTCTGCGTTTCCTCCTCCCCTGCCCTCCTTTCCTTCCTTCACCGCCCCCCCCCCCCCTCCCCTGTTTACCGCCCTTCCCCGAGGGGACAACACGGAGAATGGATTAGGAGACGCCTCCGTTAATCCGGCCTAACCCGCCGAAGAGGGGGCCTGCTGCTTGACCAAAAATTATTTCGCTGCTCGAAAAAAAAAGAAAAACGCCGCGGGCAGCGACCGAATGCGCTTTGCCGGATGCGCAACGCTCCGTCCGTTTTGAACAAGCTTGTATGCACTGGACTAACATTTTTCGCAGCGCGGCAGGTTTAGTGTAGGTCCTATCATATGGTCCTGCAAGACTTCCCTGTCCGCCACAAGCTAGCCAATAATTCAAGAACATAACGACGGCAGCGTATTCAAACAGTGTAAAATGAAATGCATATAATATTTATAAGAACACCGTAGTCTTCACTGCTTGGCTTTCAAATTTTTAGCGTTGCCAATAATCGTAATCAAACTATTTTTATGATTGAAGACCCCTCGTCGTGCATCGACCCCAAGATTACGCTTACGTGAAACATGATTCTGCGCGGAAGCGGCTCGAATCACCGTAAACTTTTTTTTTTTTTTTCAACGTGGATTTTGCTTTTTAATTTAGCTGAAATACCACTGGCAGAACACGAATCGCATACTTGGAAGGTATATACCGTCTGAAAACTCATATAGCTGGTTGAGTGAATGCAATACTATCGCATTCGTTGAAGCTTGATTTGTTGATTCGAACTTCAACAAATCACACGCACTCATTCTCCCTATTCCTGTTTACCCAGTCATAGTCGTTCCCTCACGATGCAATACGTGTACAAGTAACTGCAGTTTATGCATTGTTGACGTTGCACAGCCGTGATTGCAGGGTTTTTAGAAGCGCTATAGAACGAGCACAAGCGTCGAATTCCAGTACACTGATTGATTTCTGTCTCACCGTCGTGACGCCACACGAGAAAAGCGATTTAGTTCTGTCTGTGAAATTAGGAACACAGAAATCAAGCTATAATCCCGGTGATAAAAGAAAGCGAAATGGATCTCTGTAGCCAATACCCAACCGTTTGCGAGGTGACTAGGCGAAAGCATATGTTACCTCCGTACCTTTACCCTCTGCACACCGCCAGAGAGAGTCATACAAACTCCTTAGAGCTATTGCCAACACGATTGCGTTTGCAAGCCGGTAGTTTGACTCGCCTCGGATTCGTCCCTTTCATAGCTCTCTATGAAACCAGAAAGGTAGATACTTTTCTACATAGGGTGGGTTTGCCCGGGGCCTCCAGTTATTTACGGCCAAAATCACACTGGAGGCGCTTCAGCAATGTTCACTCTGGTCGACACACGTGCACTGTAAAAATGCCAGTCGTCTACTCTTTCCGAAAAGATACTTGACGAGCCGATCTTAGAGACCGACGGATAACGAGGCCGAAATTATGCTTATACCTCAAAAAAATTATAACACAAATTTGGCCTCGTCATTCCCAAACTGGTTGCCGGACGAAATTCTCTATGCGTATTGCAAGCCAGGGTTGGTAATAGTAACATAAGATACGTACGGCAGAATTCCCTTCCATAAATAAAATTATTTGGCTGACGCCAAAGTAACGCGAAATTGGTGCAAAGAGTTTTGCAAAAGGGAGCGTAAACCGAAAAAAAAGGGGAAAAAAAAAAGACAGAAGAATAGGAGAAATAAGAAAAAAAAAATCTCTGGTGACGTGGCCAAAAAAATTTCTGTTCATGTGATTTTTATTGTCACGTGACCGAACAAAAAAAAATAAGCGAAATAAAAAAAGAACACGAGGAAAAAACCATCCCCTGCCCGGTTTCGAAGCTAGGCCCTCTTGATCGTGAAACTAGCGCGCTATTCGTTGCGCCCAGTTGCGCCAACATAACTTCTTTTTTTCCTTTCTTTATTGCAAGTTGCGCCAACATAACTCTGCCTGTAATGCTCACGCATTCTCACATCATAGGAGAAAGCTTAGGTGCCTTCGTAGTTTTTCATGTATGTGTTATTTTTATTTGTGTCAAGAGTTCAGGTTCCAGAATGCTTTTAGAGTTTTGGAGCAAAACGAGTTTCTTCATCTGAGTCACCTTCTAGAGCCAGTAGACCGCACTGGGTCCTCCAGCTAATCAAGCAGCTATTTTCAAATTCTCTGACGTGCTCGTCCTCGCATCCGAGGTCGCCGTTTGACAAGCTTATCTTCCACCTGGTAGCCGGAACCCCCAGCAAAGCGCACATGAAGGCTCCCTACCCACGGCAGCTTTGTTCCGTCCCCACTCCCTCTCGAGAGGATGGCTCGCCCCGAGGCTAATCCCATTCTCTAGACGCCCTTTCCACCCAACGCTGGCCCTTTCCCTCCCCGTCTCCAGCTTCGGGAGAGAAGGTTCTTCCCTGCAGAACGTCCCGTTTGTACAGCGGCCTTTAAGTGAAGGGACACTGTAGCTCACACTAAACACGTTCAATGACAAATTCTAAAACAGACAACGTCTAGTAATATCTTAATCACAGTTAGCATGGCACTGGATCTCTAATGACCCAGCGCACAACTGCAACTGCAGCGTTGCGGATGCGTTGCAGTTAAGTGCTTGGTCGTTAGAGTGCTCCGATTGTGCCTGATGCCATGCACTTCGATGTTCCTGCTAATGGTGATTAAGATGGTATAATTTTTTTTCCTCTTTCGAGTGCAACCCTGAAAGCAAAAAAAAACTATAGGTAACAAGTTACTACCACAAACAAAAAAGGGGAAATTCCTCATTTAATGCTTCCTCCGTTGCCCAGTCTACACAAACACAGAGACGGCAATCGGAAACACTAACAATGCGCCCTTTCATGCCCAGGAAGCAGAGGGGCAAGTGGGCGATATCAGGTAAGATCGAACAACCATATCCGGTAACCATTTTTAATTTTGATGAAAATACACTAAATAAATTTGTAAGCACCACCTCAGTCACAGGCGTGTTTCGCATATCGCACGATGTTGGCATTTCGGGCGGCTTCCCCCAAAACAACTGTTCTGGCTACAAGTCGAGAAATATTTCCTGACAAATTAGACACAGAAAGGATTGACAAAAAGTATTAATCACCGACTATTAGGGTCGTTATTTTGAGAAACAAAATCGCAAATACAGCGTATTACACAATAACGCTTAGGATTAGTTTATTTTTCTGTGTATCTATAAAAGCTAAAGTCTTCAAACATTGCTAGTATGTTGCCCTGTATATAGTTCATCTGTGCATGAAATATTGTTGTCTTGGTTGTATTATATATGCTTGTATTATACATAAATCATCAACATACTCTTTCATTCACAAAATCCGCCACATCTCGTCTTAATGAACAATATAGAAAAACACAATTCTTGTATAGTCCGCACGCATAGATAGACTATAGCCTGGAAAATACAGTAATTATTGTGTGGAACAACGAAAGTAGAATATGTATACAGACAAACAATATTCCATTCAGTGTCATATCTTTCATTTAGAGTGTAATGAGCAAGCCTCTACATACAAAAAAAGTAGATATGTTAAAATATTATATTGTTAACATTATAGGGAACAGCTGGACAAACATTGTGGAAAAAAAGTTACCTTCTTCAAGCGTGAACACACATCATGTAGAGTGTGAACACTTAAAGGCCCTTCCCGAAATGTTTGTTCAATGTTACTGTTTGAATTTACGCAATGTCTCTACATTCTAAAAAAGTAAAAGGAAGACACACCTCTTAGCATTTTAAGTACAAAGAGGTATGTTCAGACGCTGAACTCTTCCTGTGTCTGCCATGGTTCTTGCTATAATGCCTTTTGTTGCATCCCACTGCTATAGGAATTGTTATAACACCGTGTATAGAAGTACCCTGGACAAATCAACCCTATATCGTTAGATGTCTGTCACAGGTACCACATCAATTGTCATGGAGGCACCAACCTAACCTCACCTCACAAGTTGGCAACGACTGGTACAGTCAACGGATGTGAACAAAGGGATTCATAGTCAATTTACCTTGTTTGTAATTGTGTGGAATTGTTGTTTAAACAGGCTAAAGCTCCGATACTGTGCTCCGTCTCATCCTACGATGGACTAAAGCCCAATGCTACAGGCCGCCGAAACCAATCATGAGCCTGTTAGAAACCACATGGTATATTTGCTCTGCCGTATGTATCAGTGTACCAAGACGCGTCTTGCGGAGGAGAGTTTTTTGTCTGCTTATCAAGAACTCACGGCGGCTCCGTCTGCTTGCTACTACTGAAAAGATTAAATGTCGTCTGGAAGTGATGTGGCAAAAGAGAACCTGGGATCAGAACCAGTGGCCATTAAGAAATGAAGATGAGTCGGATGGAGTGTTCGACACAGGAGCATATGTACGGACCACGTGACATGCAGAAGGGAGATACGGGTCCGGGTATGTTTTACATAGACAAAGATTGGATTGAATTGTTACAGCTAAGGCGAAACGACTTTATGTCAATGTTGCCTGTGCGCCCTCCAACATCTCCAAACAGTTGACATGTTTACAAAATATGGCATGAATGTTTGTGAAACTAAATACCACGTAGCTTTACTTCACCAATATAAAATAAAGTGCCATCACATCAGAGAACCATATGTGCAAGGTTAGTGATCTTCATACTTTGCATATCGAAATTTCTCTCGCGCATTCTTTCGCAATGCGGATGCAAGCTTTTCTGAGACAGTGCTCCGCCCGCCAGCATTCGGGCCCTAGTCCATCCTAGGGTGAGACGGAGTATAGCATTCTTTTGGCAAAACTCTGCTGACGAAGGTTACTGCCCATTCACCGAAGTTATCGACTAAGCATGAATATGTTTGGATATCAAAGGTGTCATCTCACTATTCGCTTATAATGTGACTTGACATTAAAATAATTTATTTTACATAGATGAGGTGGCATGAAACCTTTGTCACGTGGAAGTTGGGAAGAAAAGCATGACGTGTGAACAAGCCATCAATTACAACTGACCGTCCGAAATGCACCGAGCAAACCGACAGGCTACAACAATGTATTTAAAAGAAATGTACTGCCTATGTTCAACATACTTGTAAAAAAAATTGATTGGGTTTGTCTGGCATACCTCTAGACATTGTTATTAATGAATAGTTATACTGTCTCAAACATGCCGAATTAGAGGACCCACACTATATTGGCAGGATGCCACTTTTGACATACCTGTGCTTGCATGGAATGACTCCATTACATTCGGAATTAAGCATACCCTTACGATCCAGTATTCTTTTAAAATTTCCGTTTTAAAAGGGTTCGGGGGAGTAAACAAAATTAAATTAGATGAAATTTAGGGAAGTTCACATATCACAATTTACGTCCCAATCCAGTTGATGGCACAAGGAACTTGACCCTGTGTGACCGCTACCACGATTCAGGGTCGATATGAAAACTGGCTGCGCGCAGGGGCTGATAAGTTTGCGGTAGATTTCCGATGCATCCATTAACACGCTGCACTTTCGTGACGTCACGATTGGACGTCATCCTACGTCACCGAGGTCTTTCGGTTACGCGGTTCGAAGAGCGACTGCAGTCAGTGTGAACGCGATACAGCGGTACAATAAACCAACGAAGCTTGAAAAACGCCACTGCGCAGACTTTCTCCGAAATTCCGCCAACGCGAGTTGCGACTATAAAGGAACTAAACAAAAAATAATGAAGCCGTGCGGACGGGGAAATTCGTCATCGTACAGCGATCGTAGAAACATCCGCGGCAAGACTGGGTGGTACTGTACAAGCGAAAACAAGCGGCGGCAAGTACTCCCGCCCTGTCGCGCAAATGTAATACATGTATATGACTCGACATTGCACCTCGGAGACGAGTTTGAACGAAGTGGGCTTAGCGAACGACACTTGCCTCCGGAAATGGAAGTCTAACCTGAATCGGCACGAGGCCGAGCGGATCAGCGGAACGCTAATCCACACAAGGAACGCACCTACGAGAGCAATGGCTACGAATATATGCGATGATTTACAGAAGTGCAAACCAACTGTCGTATTCGGCCAAGAGTACTTGCGTCAGGCCAAGGTCGCGGCAGACACGGCGCGCACTTACTTGAACGTGTGTTCCGAGGTCCATATTTTCATCGTGGGTTTACTGGCTGGTCGTCGGCGTCGATCGGAAGCTGTCTGAATCTAAATCTTGAAGATATGACCCCCAAATGTGTTAAATACGTTACGTTTCAAATCGCAAAGCTCTTTTTTTTTTCCGTTGACTGGATGAAACCCCTGCCCGCTTCCGAGTGTTGGTGAAAAAGGGAAGCTTGACTTTCCGCAGCGCCATCTACTTTCATGACGCAGTTCCGGCGATTCCGGTATGGGAGGTTCAAGAAAAAAATCAACGGAAAAAATGAAGGCCACAAACTGCGCCTGAGCTAGTTTCGGTTTCACGCTGACGCGCCCGACGCGCCAACGCGGTGTAGTACAGCTGTTTGAGTCGTACGGTCTTACCGCCTGTTCTAGGTGAGAACGGTAAAGCACACATTAAAATACGGGAGAACCCCACGGCACCCTCATAAATCGAAGAGGCTTCGAGAGCGAACTGATTAAAAAACAAAACATGCTGGTAGTGATTCTATTTTTTTTTTCTTTTCCTGTATCAGAGCATGCAGGGTCCACGTTTATTCTTGTAACATAGCTGCACGCGCTCTCCTTCGGATCGGCATCGAAACGAATTCGTATTCCAAGATGTGTATTGTCAGAAACGCGAAATTAGATATAGTTACACATTTTTGAAGAACCGGAGACGGGTGGACGGACGAAAAAGAGGACAACACACGAAACGTCTGTTCGAGACGTTTTGTGCGTTGTCCCCTTTTTCGTCCGTCCCCGTCTCCGGTTTTTCAAAAATGTGTGTCATCAACCAGCTCGCCTGCCTACTCACTCTATCTTCAATCAGATATCGCTGTATTGCATGTTTCAATTGCTAGCTGATATTGTCAAAGTAATGCAGAAAAAATGGATAAGCCAATGCGTACCCTCGACTGGCTACTTTGTCGAGGTGTGGGAAAAGGGATGATCCAGAGACTGAAGAGAAAAAAAAAATTGTATGGGCACTTTGGCACACATGCTTACGTATATTGTGCATGGTAGCTTGCTTGGTTTCTTGTGTTTCTTGTTCTTTTGTGTGAAGGACTTTTATGCTTTGTTTTGTTTCGAGCAGTGTCTGGTCATTTTGTCGCAAACATCCAGCTGCTTGGCCAATGAATACATAATTTAAAAAAAAAAAAAAAGTACAGAAGCAGGGACGTCTTGCTGGAGAGGGTGGCTTTTTACAATTTGGATTTTGCGAGTAGGTTGAAATTTTGAGAATGGTATGAAGGCAGTTGCTTCAAACGACGAAACAATGGGGACAAAAAATATATGAACACGGCGAACTTTCAGCTAAACATTTTAATACCAGCCGCCTGCCTTTATTGTCAGCTTGGGAGAAGAGTGTGTTGGTTTAAGTCATGAATGAAGAAAGAATAAAACAATTAAACAGGGACAACACAACCATATCTTTCATTATTGTTTATTGTCATTGCGAGTAATTTATTGTCATTGCGAGTAATGGGTAACTGACACAGGAATCGATTGCTGCCATCACTGCTGCCATGCTCACTAAACTTGGAGACAACTCTCTTTCGGAGGTGTGAAGAACGCGCATAAACAGCTTTGATTGACGCTCAAGGTGCGCGGACTACATTAGCGAGTGTTAGTAGACCGTGTTACCCCCCTCCGGTACCCGGAACTCTACAGCCAAGGCCGTCGCCACGCAGGCTCAGTGGCGGTTTCTTTGTAGCGGAGGGCTGGCGGAGGGGGAAACACGGTCTACTAAAACTCGCTATTGTCGCAGGAAGTCACGCGCTATTTTTAATTGAATCGTCCTTCCGTAAATAAAAAAAAAAAAGGGGGGGGGGGAATAGGGCCCTAGGGCCCAGACGACGTCTCGAACAAAGTTAATACGTTTATTTAATCATCCTCCTTATATGCACCTTTCCAAAAAAAAAAAAAAAAAATCCTAGGCCGCCGCCATGTTGCTTTCCAAGAAACACTCGACCCCAGGGGCAGCAAACCGTTTACGAGTGCAGTCACTGGGTCTGAGGCTAGGCTCTCACCGGCGTCCCTGCTAACCTTAACCGGGTGGACTGTGATTTCGATATGCGCAACCTGCGTAGGCGCAGTTTCAAACACTGCTGGCGGCTAAATTCTCGTCTTTTCCCGCTGAATTTTGTGTTTCATTGTGCATGTATTTTCGCGAAGTCACTAAGAAAGCATTGTACCACATTTGAAAAAATAAATAAAAAAGCAATAAAAAAATGTATAAACTATTTTTGTTGGGTACGCGCGCGACAGAACGAATGCGACTGGAATGTACAGTTCTAGTTTTTGTGTTTTTTACGATAAGTTTTGACGGCGCCGCGCGATTCGCCGCATGTCAAACGACAAAGCGCTTAGCAGTCAAAAAATAATTACAACAGAAGAGAGCCGAAAGGCATGCATTTTTCGCCCTCACAAATAACGTGTTTACCGATGGACAGGACGCGGACATACAATTTGGAAAGTGTTAACATTCAAACAATATAGTACGTACCGCACGATGCAGCGTTATCTGAAAAGCATTTATTTGAGAAGGATCTTAAACAACACAGTCACAGTCGACGACAGTCACATCTTGACGATCGGACGGAAACCAAGATGACTTCGTTCTGGGGCACGCTTTGAGGAGAGCTTCCTTTTTTTACAACAGCACCAAGGCAAAAGAACGAACGCGACTGACCCGTTTCCCACCCCAACCCGGACAGCAATTTTTGGAGATGACTGAGGATTCTACGCGGATTATCTCTGAGAGGCGGGAGAACAATCATTTCGTCGTTTACCCTGAGACTGGGTTTTTTTTTTTTTTTTTTTTTTTTTTTTTTTTTTGAAGAGCAGGAGTAACAGAAAAAACAGACAGGTTGACTTCCACCAGCTAGCCTGTACTTCGACTCTTTTCTCGTTGGGAGAACAATGTTCGCAAAATCGCGTCGAGGGTCGTTAGACGTCCTTCACCTCCTTCGTTTCCCGTGAATGTCGAGCAGAAAAGCTTGAAGGGCAGGGACTTACCAGCTTTATTTCTCACAATGGAAGACAACACAGAAAGGGTACGCAGCACGCATAAAAAAAATAAAGTGGAAACTTTCAAGAGGTGACAGTGCTGTGGAAGCTACGTGCTCACTGGGCCAGCCACACCTTTGCCACGTGATCACGATCTCTCGCGCAGTGGCGTCGGAACAGGGGGGGCAGGGGGGGCGACCGCCCCCCCCCCCCCCCCCCCCCCAGAGATTTTTTAGTAATGGCGGCTCGCGAGCTGGATATTTCGCAAATTTCTCAGAGTGCGATTTTTAAGATATTTCGCGGGCATGAGTTTCTCGCATTACGAGTGGCATGATGATATTCATCATCATGGGATTAGTTATTCGAGGGCTCAATTATTTGCGGCCCTCCAAGAAGGTTCGCACACAGCAGCGAGCCCTGTCAACCAGCGTTTCTAGTCGCGGAGACAGGCCTTCGGAAGCAGTTCTACGAAGCGTTAGTTTGTGTTTGCGCCGAGCTTGCAAGACGATTCAAGCAACCAGGCATGCAGAGTCTCGCACAACTAGAGCAAAACATTTTGTGCGCTATTCAAGAGAAGCCACAAACTGCAGAAGAACTTGAAAGGAAGTTAGGATCCCACGCTACTGATTTTCACCCGGAAAGCCGTTAAAGGCAGCTGAACATGGTTCACTCGGTCAAATCGGCTCCGTACCCGAGTTGTGCCGTGCTCTGGGCGGACAAGTCCCAGAGGTCAAGAGGATAATGACTGAGGTGATGCGCCTTGCGGCACTTAAAATGACTGTGCCAGCGTCAGCGGCATCAGCTGAACGAAGTTTCAGCACACTTCGGCGTATCAAGAATTACCTCAGAGCTACCATGTCACAAAAGCGACTGACTCAGGTGATGCTGCTGCACGTAAATAGTGAGCGAGCAGCAAAACTTGATCTGAACTCTATCATCGGAGAGTTCGTGTCGAGGACGGCTGAACGACGAGCCGTTTTCGGGCACCAGTGAGCTCTTTCTTATTTCACGCTGTTTGAAGACGTCAACATGGGAGAAAAACAAGATCACCACATTCCAAAAGGGGAAGGACATATATTCGTTCTAAATGAACGTTTTTTGAGCGTTTATATCCATACTGTTCTAGATGCTTCATCCCTCCCCCCCCCCCCCCCCCCCCCCCCCCCCCCCCCCCCCACCCCACCCCAATTCCGTTGCTCCCCCACCTCAGAAATACTTCCGACGCCACTGCTCTCGCGCATACCCACACGCAGAGAATGAGGTCAGGTGATGAAAGGGAGGTGGCTGATTAGTCCGGCAAGCGCGTAGCTTCCACCGCAATGTCAGCTTAGGGGTGAAGGGAATAAGTGAGGTCCGGTGTCGTTTGACGTGCGTTTGGACCCGGTGACGCGCTTTGGAGACCACGGATGTATCGCAGTGAAAGGTTGCCAAGGGAAGGAGGTACGATATAGACCGCTGTGTTTTCAAATTTTCGTACCGAAAGTCAGGCTTTTGACTTTCTACCTTTTTTCTTTTGGCCCACTGAACGATGTGCTATTAGTAAAATCCCGATCTAAATTGATTTATCCCAGCCCAAAATTCGTTAATACCTTCGTAGATTGACAGGGCTGAGTGTATGGTGCCGTAAAAAAATCAACATAAAATGAAACGAACATTCCGGTTGCATTTATTCTGTCGCGCACGAACTCAACAGACATAGATTTGGTTTGTTTGTTTTTGTTCCCAAAAATAGTGCAATGCTTTCTTAAAAACCTCGAGAAATTCTCTTCCTCATACAACACAAAAGAAAAAAAGAAAACGAGGAAATTTAGGTACCACCAGGGTTCGGAATTGCGCCAACGCAGGCTGCCACAGCCCAATGACGAGAGAACCCACCATTATGGTAAACAAGGACAGTGATGACAATTTGCAATTTGTTTTTAATTAACATGTTGATAGCGAGAAGGACCCGAAAGCTTGGATCTCTGCCTCCAGCGCTCCACACGTGCTGCTGCCTTCCGTCGTGCTTTGACTGCGCGTGCGCCGTAGTGTGCCCGCTGAACACAAAGTCGTCTATTAGACGCCTAAGACATCTTGAGTCATCTTGTAGCCGCCGTGTAGGCTTCATAACGCTCCCTTTTTTTTTGGTCTACAAAACGTCTTGCAAGGCGTCTCCTAGACATCTTAGAGACGGCTACAAGGCACCCAAGACGTGAGTCTTCTCTTTGAGATGTCTTTT